GTCCAAGGACCGGCATTTTCTTTGCAAATATTAACTCAACAGACAGCGGTTGGAAGCCTCTGATGTTTCACGCTCCTTGTTCTGAGGGAGAAACCAGTCCCGCTGGAACCTCACAACCTACAGGGGCCATGGGTGCGCGAAGGGGCACGAACCTTGCGTGGAGCTGGCGAAAGTAGTGCTGGGCTGGGAAAGACGGGGAGGAGGAGAGGGAACCTAGACAGAGGTGGGTGGTTTCACCCAAGGAGCCCGGAGGAGCCAGGCTGGAAGGATCGGGAGGGTCAGGTTTTGATGCCCTCCTGGGGGAAATTGCCCCTGTATGAAATGGGAAACCCTGGGGGGTTTTAGATTGGGAAGTGACAGTTAAGTCCTACTCTTTAGAAAGACTTTGCGGCGCCTGGATTGGAGGGGAGGAGCCTGAGCTCTGTGGGGTTTGCTGGAAAGCGGAAGGTCCTGGATGGGGAGCCGCCTGCCAGCATGCAGTGCCGAGACGCGGCCAGCAGGTGGCACTCGAGCACTGCGTTTATCGAGTTTCAAGGCGGGCCTGTGCTTTGCATTCTTTTGTTACTTTGTTTTTTTATTTGGGTGTTTTTGTTTTGCCTGTTAGTGGTGGATTTTTGTGTTTGCCTCCGGGCCTTCCACCCTGTACCCACCCAGCTTCCTTTCAGCTTCTCTTAGAATACTTTCTACCGCCGCATCCCGCGCGACATAAACCGAAATAAGAAAGGACAGCAAAAAAGAGAAAGCAAGTGGTCAGTTTCCGAGGGGACAGGCTAGCATCTGGGGCAGCCGGGCGGGCCCCGCGTTGCCCTCCGAGCTTGAGGCCAGGCCTCTGGGGCCACTGCCCCGCCGTGGGCCTGGCGGTCGTCACTGCCAGCAACAGAGACCTCAGGCAGGGGGAGCCCAGGCTCCGGAAACGAGGGGCAGACAGGTACCTCTTCGTGCACCTGCCACACTTCCTCCTGCATCCCAGGTGGCCCCACCCATTTAAAGAGGTCCCCTTTCAAGGTGACACAGAGATCCACCTTCATCCCAGAAGTCCTTCTGTGACGTTCTGGGTTTGTCTTACTCCGTGATTTCTCCCCATAGGCTCCTTTCTTCATCGTACAAAGAGAAGGAGCTCCGGAGGCACATCCCCCTAAGTGGCCCCGGTGGTTCTGCCCGTCGCGCGCCCCCCCCCCCCCCCCCCGCAGCTCCCTCATCCTCAGTGTGGCCCCACCTGGGGCACGCCCCAGCCCCCAGGGCGTGAGCAGAAAGCAAAAATGAGGCAAGGGTGCCCACCTCTCTTCCAAAGGGTTTTCTGTCACGTTTAACGCTTGGAAGCCCTCTGGGCTACACATCACCTCCCCCCCTCACCGTCTCTACCCCTCACTGAGACCAGTCACACCTTGGGCGCTTCACGTCCCTCTCTGAGCCACAGGTCCCTTGTGTGCGCTCCATCCGTAAAGTAGGGACAAGAGTCTGACTCCATCCAGGGGTCGGTTAATGGAAACGAACGTGTGTGACTGCGGAGGTCAGTATCACATCTCGGGATCTAACCTGACACTAGTCTGTGCGTGGAGGACAAGGGGACTATCTTTCTCGTTTATCAACCGCCACGCTCTACTAAGAATATGGGTCCAAAACATTTGCTCACCAGTCTTGCAGTGATGTGTTTGGGCTGCAAAGCCAACTCTTATCCCAAGTAAAGATCTTCTTGCGTAAGGAGAAGAGTGATCCCAGGAGAGGAGTGATCCCGGCTCTTCCTCGCTCCGAGTGGCTCAGCCCAGGCTCTGGGCGGGGATTCAGGGTGTTGGCCTGTTGCCAGCCGGATGCTAGAAGGGGAAAGTGGAAGACCCGGGGTCCGCTTCTGCTTCTGACCAGCTGCGTGGTCTCAGACAATTCACATCACGCCTCGGGACTTGTCTTCTCTTTGAAGGTGGGCTTTGCTTTCCTGACTGTCCCCTAAGGCTGTTGGGAATATCCAGGGGAGATGGGGGGCGAGAAAGCCCTCCCGGCATCACGGAGACCTTGAAATTTACCTTGAGAATCTTTTTCTTCCCTGAGTATTGCCGTGAACGTCTTCCTAGCTGCCAAGCCACTGTCTTCTTCCTCACCTTGTGTCTCAGTGTTGTACCGGCTGGCCAGGGTGCTGAGCCCATGAAATGGTCTTTACGCTCTGGAAACATCCGTCGCTTTCTTCTGAGAACACAGGCGGTTAGCACCCACGCGGGGCATCGGTGCTGTTAACTTGCCCACCGAACAGGCATCTCTCACGTGCACATTATCCATTCTTTAAAAAATCATTTTGCGTGTTCTTGCATTTTGCATAAAAAATTTTGCATTGTCTCGCAATTTCATCTAAAGCTACCTTTTTCTTTCAATGCCATCATCATTAGAACTCTTTGTGTTACTTTTGAGACGTCCACTACGCATGCATTTATGAGATAGATGCAGGGAGGTTTATATATTTGTGAGATGCTTCACATCAAAGCACCGTGACATACTTCCACCTGCATCGCCCAGCAGAGCAGACGGATTTTGTTCTAGAAGATACCGTCCGTCCAGTCTAAGAAGGTCGTAAATGAAAAGGTTGTGAGCAGAAAACAGCTTGCAGTCTTGCCCATTCCTATCGCAACAAGAGTTTTAAGCCGAGAATTAAATTTTAATTTCACCAAAAAATTCTAGAAATTGCTTCCTTTCAGCGAATTCAAACGGAGAATTGCATTGATAGGCCGTCCACCATTCAGTCGCTCTTGCATTTCCAGAATAATCGCTGCTGTTCATGGTGCTCGTCTTTGAATGGCCTCTGCATTGTGCTTGCTCATGTCTATGAAATTAAATATAAATTAAACATAAAGATTTGGAAGCGCTGGAGGGCTACGTTTTCCTTTTTCTTTTTGCCTCTTGGTTGGGTGGGTTGGGGTTTTATATTTTGTGAGCTTGGCAAAAATGATTTGGGGAAATTTCTTCCCCTTCTGTCTCTTCCTCCCTCCTTGTCCTGATGGGAAATACTGTTTTCCTCGAAGATTCATTAGAAATCTCCTGTTAATAAAGAGAGTGGGCTTGGCGCTCTTTTACGGGAATGGGGTTCATCCCCTGACTCTGTCTGTTCCATGAACTTGGGTCTATGTGGAGGGTCGTCTCCTTTCTGTGGGAGGACACGCGAGTGTGTGTTCTCTTCCAGATGTTGCATGAACCTCCGCAAAGCACGTTCCTGCCTTTTTTTTTTTTTTTAAACTTCCTGCTAGGCCTGCAGCCATTTCTTCACCATCAGTTCCTACTGTTAACGGTTCATCATTTTTACTGTTACTGTTGGCTCTTTAATGTGTAAAAACCAACTCATGGGTTTATTAATTACTTCTCACACTTACTGTCTCTAAATAAACAATTTCTGCCTTCATCTTTTTAAATTCTTTTGTTCTGCTTGCCTTAGTGGTTTTTTTTTTCTTATTGTTTTCTAATTTCTTGAGTTGCGTAATTAAATAACGCATTTCCATTCACGCTTGCTAATTGATATACATATTTCTGGCAGAAAAATCCCTCTGAATGCTTTTAGTCCTGTGCTCTGGATTCTGGCATTTCGTGTTTCAATTTTCCTCCTGATGAGATGTTTTGCTTTTCAGTATTGAGGTTTCGGTTTACTCTTTTTTTTTTTTTTTTTTTAATGCTTATTTATTTTGAGAGAGAGAGAGAGAGAGACAGAGCGCAATCAGGGAAGGGCAGAGAGAGAGGGGGAGACACAAAATCTGAAGCAGGCTCCAGACTCTGAGCTGTCAGCACAGAGCCTGATGCGGGGCTCGAACTCACGAACCACAAGTTCATGACCTGAGCTGAAGTCGGACACGTAACCTACTGAGCCACCCAGGCACCCCTTGATTTACTCTTTGATCAACGTGTTGTTAAATAGAAATTTCTTAAATTTCCTTCTGGAAGGCTTTTATAATTGGTTTGACATTCCAATTTCATTTTTGTTTTGTTTTTTTTTTTTAATTTCTAAGTTTTTCTCCTATGTAGCATTTCTTTGGGTTTTTAGTGAAGTTTTCTTGTAGCCTAACAAAAGGTCCGTTTTTAAGGGCTGTTCCATGGACACTTGAAAAAGTTAGCCCATCTTCTGTTTCCACAGCATATGATTAGACATGTGAAAAATATCCATTGATTGATTGATTACGTTGGTTGGGTCTTCTGTATTGTGATGTATTCTGTCTACTTTTATCTCTTATGAAACGAGACTCGTATAAAGGGCCACCACTGGAGTGTCCCCAGGTGTCTGTGCCCTCTTTCGTTCTTCATAAATGCTGATTCCAGGGTATTTGGAGCATAAACCTTAGGTTTGTTCTGGTTTAAGTTCAACTCCTGGCTCTATCACCTATTAAGAGTCTGGCCTTGATTGAGTTCCTTCGTTTGGCTGAGCTGCCTTGTCTGGAAGAAGGGCTGATGATTCATGTCCTGCCGAGTCTTAACCCAGTTTAGGGGGAGAGCCTGTGATGTGCTAGCCCTACAGTAGATGCTGCTGTGCTTTTAACTGCAGCTGCCTGCTCATAAGCGCACCTGGCTGGCGAGCACAGTGGCTAGAGCTCGTGGTGACCTGTGCTCTCCGGCGCGATTCTAATGGGTTCGCGACTTCCTTGGAAGTTGTTTGTGTTGGTCCTTCCACTGCGGGCACCACTACTGTCACTCGAGCTACTGAAATCGCGTTACCCCTCTCCCGGTGGCTGCTCGGGAGCCCCATCGTTCCCGTTACTGCGTCTGCTGTGGTTCTTGGTGACGCTGCAGCGACTCTACTGGCTGCTCCTTGTACCGCGACGGCGTCTCCCAGGGCAGCTGCTTCTCTTGCCGCTGCTACTGCGTAATCATTGGCGCGTTGGTACTGTTTTTTAGATTTCGAGAGAGAGAGAGAGAACATGAGCAGGAGGAGGGGCAGAGAGAGAGAGAGGGAGGGAGGGAGGGAGAATCCTAGGCAGGCTCTGCACCGCGAGCGCAGAGCCTGACGCAGGACTTGATTTCACGAACCGTGAGCCGATGGCCCGCGCCAAAATCAAGAGTCGAGCGCTCAATCGACTGAGCCACCCAGGCACCCTGATGCATTGCAATGACTTATGAGCCTCTTAGTATAAAAGGAGGTGGGACTGGATGCAGAGGGTCAAGGCATCCTTCCGGCTTTTCCACGTACCCGCCTTCCTCACCTCACAGACATCCTCACAGAGGATGTCACCGCCTGCAAGGCGCCCCCGCAGACGTGCCGCGACAGGTGAATGAGATAGCATCTCTGGAGGGTCTGCAAAGCTCGGGGGTGGTAGAGGTGGCCTCAGAGATTATGAAGCCTCGGCTTCTCCCTTGTTTTGCTTAGAGAGAGACAGGGAGCGACAGAGAGACAGAGGGAGAGCGGAGGTTAACATGAGCCAAAGATACAGGACCGAGCGCCCCAATTCCCGTGTCTGGTTCCAGATGAAATACCACTCGTGCAGGGAGAGGATCGCGCGGGGCTGGCAGTTCTGGAGGCCAGTCGATTCTGCGCCGTTCCTGGAGGAAGAGAGTAGGTAGGTGCAGGCCACAATGTGTCACTCTGTCCTGGGGGTATTGAGTCTCCAGTTTCCAGTATTATGGCCAAGCTAAAGCTATGGACCCGTAGATACAATGATCTACTTTAGGTTTCAAGATTTGTTATCTCCTAAGTGAGACCAAGGAGATGGCTTTTGCAAAGGTTTCCAGTGGGGGGGGGGGGGCGCGCAAACCAGAATGCGACGTCTACAGGAAGGAACCCAGTGTGGTTTTCATTAGGGCTTTAAGGTCTGAAGTCACTATTGCTTTCGCAAGGAAAGATGCGGTTAGAGTCTCTTTCCCCTTCCAGATTGCAGGACCTCGTGGCCCCGTGTCCGTCCGCCGTAGCTCACTGGGGGCCAGAGGTGACTTCAGAAGGGAGTAGGGCCTCCGATGCTGGCCTCCGCTCCTGTTCACAGGGCTGCCTCCTCTGAGTTTCCACGCCTGGCTAAGTGCGATCACGCCAAGGTGTATGCAACAGTGAAGGCACGTATTACATGCTCAGTGGATGTTGTTATAACAAAGATCATCATCTCTTCTCTGCAGGGAACGTGGCTATAAAAGGGAGTGACCACGTGCCTGCGTGTTTTAGGCACTTGGGGAACGTTACTCTTTTCTCTTAGATGTTCTGTCGCGACAGACAAGGATTGAGCATGAGAATAGAAGGTGACGTTTGCAGGGCTGACAAGAAGTGACCAGAACCTTAGAATTTTGGAGGAGTAATGAGGAGACAGAGGTGGGCAGCTCTCAGTTAGGTGCCCACACATGTGTGCGCGTGCATGAACCGCTCACGCACAACACGGAGGCTGTGATGTTGAATGTGACGTGATGTTGAATGTGCCAGGAGTTGGCTCAGATATGAGGCACGCTGGAGAGGCCGTGCCCTCACTCAGATGCAGGGGCTGACCCGGAGGCTGGGCCTGGACAGAGGTGCCTCACCTGAGGGGTCCAGTAGGTGACTCTTCTTCATACATGGAAGTGATGGAAGGCAGTGCATTTCAGAGAAGCCCGATGGATTTCTCTAGGTTCCCGACAGTTGGAGGGAGGGTTCCCCCACTGGGGTAGGAGGCAAGGGGAGCTGAGAGCTGAATGATGAAGCAACAGGTGGGAGAACTGCCCTGAAGAGTTTCTCAGGGGGCGCCTGGGTGGCGCAGTCGGTTGAGCGTCCGACTTCAGCCAGGTCACGATCTCGCGGTCCGTGAGTTCGAGCCCCGCGTCGGGCTCTGGGCTGATGGCTCAGAGCCTGGAGCCTGTTTCTGATTCTGTGTCTCCCTCTCTCTCTGCCCCTCCCCCGTTCATGCTCTGTCTCTCTCTATCCCAAAAATAAATAAACGTTGAAAAAAAAAATTTAAAAAAAAAAGAGTTTCTCAGCTCAGGCGTGTATTGCCAAAACCAGGTTTTTATCAGAAGCCTGAGCATCTTATGGGGTTGGGGGTCACTACCTTGTGACCGGTGCGGACAGAGCTGGGAGGCCACACACACCTCTGTCAGGGAAGGAGCCTCCCTGCTCCGTGTCTGGGGAGACAGACTGCTGGAAAACCTTGTTGGGTCGGGGCACCCGGGCTGTCCAGTCGCCCTGTGCAGAGGGACAAGTCTCAGCTGTGGTTGGGATGGCTTGGGCACCTTTGTCCCAGCCAGGGACTCTCCAGGTCAGTAAGGGCGTCTCCGGATGACTGGCCAAGAAAGCAAGTGCTAAGCGGGTGAGGGGTCCACTGTGAACTGAGACCAAATGCAAAGGGGTCTGATGAGGTGACAGATAAGGGATACTTTATTGTGGCTTTTACGATCATTGGTCATTTTACAAGTCTTCCCCGGGGCTCACCTGCTTTGAAACATAGTATTTCTACAACACAGGCATCTACGAGTTAGCTTTTCAGCTGTCATAATATTTGATCATTAAATTCCACAGATGAGGAACTCGACCTTTGAGATAAGTAATTTGCCCAGGTTTACGCAGCTTGAGAGGTGGAAAACGTGACCGGCCTCAGAGCTGGTGCTTTATCTCTTGGCCTGAGTGTCCTAAACTCATCTGGGTTCTCAGAAGTCAGAATGGGTTGGTTGGTTCCTTCCTGAAGGTCATTTATGGCGATGTGTGCATTCAACCCTTGCCTGCAGGCAGCCTCTGGTGCTGTGTGGGTGTGTGCTTGTGAGTAGGGGATGTTCACCCAAGCCTGCATCAGATTCCATCTAAGCCAACCAGGGGCCCTTCCCACCGGGTGTCACCAAACACCCAGCAAGGCCATTTGGCTGTTTTATAGCACACGTGAGTGAGGCCGGGCTGGGTTCTGTCGTATGATGAGGCATAATTCCCTCTCGGGAAGCCCCGGAAACATGTTTCTCTTCAGCCTGTTTAAAGGTTTTACTCTATGAGATATTGGTTAATGATCACAAAGTAATAATCATTTGCCATTAAAAACAGGTGCTCGTGGGGCGCCTGGGTGGCGCAGTCGGTTAAGCGTCCGACTTCAGCCAGGTCACGATCTCGCGGTCCGTGAGTTCGAGCCCCGCGTCGGGCTCCGAGCCGATGGCTCGGAGCCTGGAGCCTGTTTCCGATTCTGTGTCTCCCTCTCTCTGCTCCTCGCCCGTTCATGCTCTGTCTCTCTCTGTCCCCAAAATAAATAAACGTTGAAAAAAAAAATTTAAAAAAAAAACAGGTGCTCGTCCCTGCACTTGACGCTGGTGTCTGGGGCCGCTGGGAGAAGAGCTGAGTCCGTACGCGGTGCACAGGCGTTGGCGGACGAAGGCTGCAAGCCCCAGGTGGGCAGAGCATCCAGCTGAGGCCCCCTGAGCTTGCGCTTGGTGCTATCTTACTACCACCGGTCCCATTGGCTCAAGACCTTATCATTTCCTTGGGTGGGGGCTCTTCCCAGCCCTGTGGACGCCCTGTCCAAATACAGGAAGGGCCCCGCACGCTGGAGTTAGTCTGGTGGGCCTGCACTGTCGCCCTGATCTTCCTTAGAAAAATACGATTGACTGCCTAGAAAAAACGCCCAAAGACAGATCCCAAGAAAACTGGTGACTGCTCACTGTGCATGCCTGATTCTCCAGGAGCGGTAAACCCGACTTTACTCGAACAAGGCACTGGGAGGAGACGTGTGGCTAGACTGCAGCCACGAGCAGCACCACCACCAAGCTCCTGGGCTCCGGAACGCGATTTTGGGCTACAGGCCCTTCTCAACGCCTGTAACGTTGCCCCAGCGATGCGACAGCTGTGGGCCGTGAGGGCCACTAGTTGGCCTCTTCGTGTTGGGGTCCACGTCAGAGATTTTATAGGAAGCATGGGACAGGAATGTAAGAAGCCATGATTCTTTATCTGCTTAAGCAAAGTTCAGTTTGGTTCCCTCAGCGTGTCCAGAAGCAAAAGTACGAAACAAGGCTTCTCCTTCCCCTGGATTGCGCCTTGGAACCTGGGAGCCCGGGAGCCCACCCACACCGAGGTCATATCCCAGAGAATCAAGTCAGAACCCTTGGGGCTGAGACGTAGGCAGCAGTGGTTTCTCTTGGGCTCTTGATCGCATCGATGTGCAGCCTCTCTTGAGAACCACTAGTGGGCCCGGGCTTAGAGAAGACAACAGGTGTGTTTGTTATATTAGAGAAACCAACCTTACTCCATTCTGAAACAGCCAAGTTATTTATTTTTCAATAGCTCCGTCTGGCTCTAGAGTGTTATTTTTGGATCCTCAACATTCAGCAGTCAATAAAAATGCCTTGAACTTGACGGCTACAGAGCACTCCGTGATGTTCCATTTCAGACACTCGCTCTCCATTTATTCAATAATGACTGCCCGGGTTTCACTTAGCGCTAGGCGTTGTGCTGGACACAAAGACACAGCCGACCTCTGCGTGAGAAGTCATAATCCAGTGCGCGAGAGAAACACGTAAGCCAACGACCCCAGTCCGGTGTCAGTGAAGGGAAACCCACTTTACAGCAAGGGTCTCAGTGAAGACAGGGTCCATCCCGGCGCTATCAGATGTATGCAGATCCCCAGATTCCAACGATAACAGCTGCTTAGGGCAAGACCACTGGTCTGGACGCCTCTGCTCGTTCTCGCCAAACATTAGAGCGCCGCCTCTGTACTTGGGCTTTAAGACATGTTTCACAGCACCTTCTGTTGGAAACTTCACGCACCTGGCCCAGGGCCACACTCTGCATTTAAATGAAAGTCCACAGCTCTGGGCGGTAGGTCACTATAAATGTATTTCACTAATCGGAGATGTTGGGTTTTTAGTTATTTTTCCCTTCCTGGCTACCAGCCTCTCTCAGGGGGCTGCTTTAGGTGAAGACACTCCTCTTCCATTGCCCACACTATAGAGCTCCAGAGTCATTCCAGCCTCCTGTTGTTTGAAGGGGCGGGGTTGGTGCAAGGTACTAACTCAAGACCAGGTCCCTGGAAGAACATTAGCTGAATGAGCTGGGCTGCAGACCCAACCCCCCCCCCCCAGGTGTGTGGGCGGGGCCTTTCCCACCACCCGGTAGACTCCAGCTCCCGCCAGCCGATGCATGGCAACCGGGAGGATTTTCTCCCACCAAAATACACCGCTAATCCTTGCTGCCTCCTCACACTCCATATCTACTTCCCCAAATCCACATATTTGTGCAACAATTTCCAAGCCTCGGGTCCTGCAAAACTCCTTTGCACATCAGACGTTTAAGTCTGTTCATTTATCCCAGTGAGTTCGTCTCTTCCTTTGACATTCTCTTGGTGAACAGGGGACTCGGGGGAGGCTTTAGTCATGACTCCTGCCCACAGGTCCATATCAGGGACTGTATCACTTATGCTGTATGTTGGGCACATCATTATTTTATGTAAATTAAGAGGTTATGTAAAGAGTAAGGGTACTTATTGGGAGAATGAGTTCTACTTCCTGCTCTCCCTCAAAGGTATTTCCTGAGCTGGGGTGGGCTGTTTGGAATCCCAAGGCCTTGATTTGCTCCCGTGTAAGATGAGAGGCTGGGGCTCTGTCCCAGTCCTAATTTGAGCTTTTGGTGTGAGACCATAAAAAAAGAAGGAAAAAAAAAATCTAAGTCTCAGTTAAAGACAACTGAAACACCAGTTTCAGTGGTGTTTCAATGGCTTATCCAGAAAGCTTGTAAGGGAGTTTTGGATCACTCTAGATCTTTTTTTAAAAAAACAGCCCTCTGCCCCAAGTGATAAGCATCTCTTGACCAGTCAGTCCATCTGGGCATGACACTCAAAGCTTCTTACCCTTTTATCTCCCAAATATCCCGTGGCGAGTCAGTGTAGAAGTCTGTGTCACAAGTGCAGTTCCCAGTGGGTGCACACTCTATGTGACGGCTGTCTTCCTGCCTTTCGCAGACCCGATGGTGGGAAACTCCAAGGCCGGACATTCCTAACGGCCTCTGCACACAGCGCTGCCTTCTGTGCCCAGCATGTCCGCTTCCCGACAGTTGTAGGTGACAGACACCTGCACCAGTGGAGTGGCTAGGGAACGTCGCTAGGTGTGTGTGTGCTTTAAGGAAGAAAAAAAAAAAAGGAAGCAGAGGAGTTGGGCTTTTTCTCTTTAGCTTTTGTGGCTGGCTGCTTCCTGCTTCATAAATCTGGGGTGGGAGGCGGGGGAGTTGGCGAGCCACGCCCCGCGTCCCCAGCCTGTGGGAGGGGGGTCAGGGCGGCATCTCTCTGACCAGCTGCCCGGTCCATCTGCAGCTGGGATCCGCTCCGTGATCTACGGCCACAGCGCTGCGCAGGGGGCCTTTAGTGCTGCTTCATGGCAGCTGGTGTGAATGGGAGTGGAAAAATAAACCCTTTTCTTCCCCAACATCAGGAAAAAATGCTCCCAAAGACAGACAGACACACACACACACACACACACACACACACACACACACACACACACCCCTCAACCCTTCCTGGTTGCAGTTCTCACTCAGCCTGTGATCTGAGCCCCTGGGTTGGGGTTTTTACTTTTGAAGGTCTGTTTTTGCTTGGAAGCAGATTGAACCCCCAGTGATGTATCAAGGTCATTGGCATCCAAGTTTCCAGCCTCCAAGGGAGCTAGGAGGAAAAACCCAGGAAAAAGGACTGGTCTTGAATTAAGAGGAAAAACATGTCCATTTCCATTCCCGTTGGATTTTAATTTCAAAACACATACCATAAAATGACAGATTGCAAGCAGCTATTTTCCAAGCCAGTGGAAACTCTGTGTTTTACTGGACTAGCTTGGTGATGCAGGGGACTGAATATGGACCGTGGGTCTGTGTGCTTTTAACTCTGTGCCCGTGCCCACACCCAGTACCCAGCAGTCCCCGGAATCTTGTGCAAATGCCCCTTCGTTCAAATGGGCTCTACTCCTCTCTGAAAGTATCCTGCCTCAGTTAGCACAGGATCGTGATAGGAACTGAGTGAAAGAACACACATGCATTTTTTTCTTCCGCTTGGCAGGTATTTTTAATAGTTACTAATAAATCCAAGCACTCTTTAGTCTTTGGTTAAGAAAAACCCAAAGCCCTGGGGCACCTGGGTAGCTCAGTCTGTTAAGCGTCTGACTTTGGCTTAGGTCATGATCTCTCGATTCCTGAGTTCGAGCCCCATATTAGGTTCTCTGCTGTCAGTGCAGAGTCTGGAGCCTGCTTCCCATTCCGTGTCTCCCTCTCTCTCTGCCCCTTGCCCACTTCTGCTTTGTCTCTCTTCCTCTCTCAAAACTTAATAAACATTAAACATTAAAAAAAAAAAAAAAAAAAAGAAAAACCCAAAGCCCAGAAAGGGCTCAGAGCCCACAGAGGGAAATGGAACTAAGTGCATTAGAGTAGTGGGTGTTGGGGCAGGTATTTTCAGAGGACCCTGTGGGGTGCAAAGGAGGAAGTTACCAAGCCTGCCACTGGGGAGAGGCGTCAGCAAAGGAGTGGGGCATTATGGTTAGAATTGCCAATTCACACGGCCCAGAGTACAAGCCACCATCTTCAGGAAGCCCCTTCTGTCATTTCAGCCTAAAGTGATTTTTGCTTCTTCTGGGCTCCAATAGTTCAGTTTCTAAAACTTGTTTTTACTAGTTCCGAACAGATATCGAATTTCTAGCCCTAGACATCACGGGGGCAAGGACGGTGATGATACACCTTGTATTCCTACTCATACTTGGCAGGATACATAGATAGCACATGTTTCTTCTTTGCCTTGAATAGAGAGCTGGGCAGGAGTCAGCCTCGCTCAAGTTCATGCTAAGATCTGTGCGCCTTTGGCCTTCATTCCGTGCCAGGCCCTGGCCGGCTCAGGTGCAGTGTGGACAGATCGGAGGTGGGGGGTGAGTTCGTTGCCTGCAAAGCATCCTCAGGAAAGCTGGCCTCCTGATGAAGTTAGTATCTGTAAAGGTCCTTTATCCTACTGCTGTGATGTGGGGGAAGGTTAGCACTAGTTGAAAGAGAGCGTGCTAACAGGAATCAAGAGAACAAGGTCGGTCTAAAGAGAGCTACAGGTGAGGAAACCTGGATTGACGTGATAAAATATACCGTATTAGAAAGGTCACGGTCCATGGGCTTCCTTATTCTGCCACTGTGGATATGTGACCCGGTGTCTCTAAGCTTTGCTTTCTTCACCTTTAATTGGCACTTGTGAACTACATTTTAATAGTGAGGAATTAATGATATATATACACACATGCACACACACACACATGCATATATATATATATATATATATATATATATATACACATGAGAATGCTTCACAAATTACTGTCATATAGAGATAAAAAACTGGATTAGGACTCACATAAAGACAATTATGGAAAGGGAGCCCATGCATTTCTCTTTAAAATCATAGTAACAACTGTGTATGGTTTAGAAAATTCAGGGTAATAAAAGCTTAAGGAAAACCTGTAGACTCTATGATGCTCTTCCTTAGGCCCCAGTCTGCTGCTTCAAACCCCTTGCTGTTTCTTCTGGGGTAGAACTTCAGATTTCTAATAATACATACTTACTCTATTTTTAAAAAAAAATTAAGCACATCCTCTGTTGACTTACACTGTGGAAGGTGAGGGTTCTTATAGCACACCATGTGTTCACTGCACCTATATTTTATTAAAATTGATTTTTTTCTATCCACCTGCTGATAATTCTTTCTGAAAAGGTATTTAAAGTGCCACTAAATACCATCCAATACTTAGGATATATATTGGTCCTGTTGCGTTATTGCTTTTAAGACATCCTGAGACCTCCCATCCTCAGGCTCCAACACGGACTGTTCCATGGTGAGCCTGTGGTTCAGCTGTCACCCTGGCACTTGCCTTCACAAGTTTCTGGGAAACCCACTTTTTGCCACACCTCATTTGGTTTGCCTTCTTTCTAAACTTCATGACTTTCTCTTTTCTTGGAAATTTCCTTTTTCATTTGTTGGAGCACATTCTCCAGTAGCTTTCTGAGAAAAAAAAAATGTGCATAAGATGTTAATCTGGTGGGAGACGGCATGTAAAAATACAATTATTTGGAGCGAAGATTTTGTTTTGGTTAGATAAACAGTACTAGATCAGAAATTATGTTAATCTCTGAACATTGGATTCTGCAGGTAATTATTTCATTGAGTTGTAGCAATTGTTGTTATGAATCCCATCTGAGTCCTTATCTTTAAAGATGTGTTTCTTAGCCCTGAAGCTTTAACTCTCTTTTTTCCTTATGCTTGGTATTCTGAAAGTTTGCCATGATGTTTCTTGCTACAGGTATTTTATTCGTTTATTTATTTAGTGGGTCACTTTATTAGTTTCTTGTGGCCACAACAATC